TACTACATCTATCTCATATTCATATCTACTACATCTGTTAATGGCTCCGCTTAGTTTAATCTATATGATCATAAGTTCATAAAGCCAGAAATGAACTAAATAAACTTTTCAAAAAGCTCTTTGTCAAAAAAGCATACAAATTTTTAAGCTAAGTTACGTTTTCTTTTGAGTACCAAAAAAGATATAGTTGTTTTTATAACAATTAAAATGTTGCTGCTTTCATTGCAGGATGAACTGGATGATGTAGATTGGGCGAGGCAATATTTCTACAATCAAAATGGTCCTCACGTCGATCACACCAGAGGCGACAACAAAGGATACTACATGAACCTTCTCCCAAACACATCTCCTTTGATGAAAGGTGGTACAAAAGGATGGCTTGTAAGTTCACGGCTGAAACCAACAGCGAACCCCAAATGCTTATCATTCTACTATTACATGCATGAGAGACTCATTGATCCAAATGGCATGAGTTTAGGAAGTTTAAAAGTTTTCGTTCGCCTGATGAAACCAGGCAAGCCGTTTTCACCGATTTGGCGACTTTATAACCACCAGGGTGAGCGATGGTTTCCAGCAAGGGCTCCAATAGTTAGCCTCAAAGATAGAACACCACCAGATACGGCATTCGAAATCATTTTCGAAGGTGTTTGGGGTGATGGACGGGCTGGTGATATAGCTATAGATGATGTATCCTTCTTTGACGGGGATTGCACAACTGAACCTTTAGGTGCTGCCGCTGTTGTTGGTGAATGTTTCTTCGAGACAGATATGTGTGGATGGATTCCTGTATCTGTTTTAGACGACGGACCATCTACTCTTGCGCCAACGACGGAGCCAAAAACGTTGAATTCAGTAGAAGAAAGTTTGTGGAAGATGGCCAGAGTGGAGAATAAACCGGCCGGTCTTCTAGATCACACATTGCGATCACCAGTAGGATTTGTATTTTTCGACGTTTTTCATAAAAGTGTTGTTCAAAAACCTAAACTCCGAAGTCCTATTTTAGAATTTAGCATTAGTACTGTTAGATGTTTGGGATTTTGGTTCGTTG